CACCAGCTGTAGCCGCCTCCTGAGGTTTATCTGCATGGGGTTGAGTAGCGATCTGGCAACCTATGGCTTGTGTGCCAGCAGAAAGGGCTCCACGTGCCAGCTGTGGCACATATGCCATAGGTTCGTCATCACTACTCTAGGCCTTAACAAGGATTATGGTTACATACACTATTGTAATCATCTGAAACTTTTTCATCCAGCCAAACTCCAATCACTATTAATGTGATGAAATTAATCACTTCCTATTGTCTGTTTTAAACTGTTTGTAAGGAGAACTGATGACATCTTAGAACTATTACCAACAATTTTAAACTGCCAATAGTTTTAAACTCCACCCAGAGAGCAGTGCATATATTTTAACTCTGTTCCATTAGTACTACCTAAGTACTTCATTGGTTGTTCATGCAGTGAAAAACAGATATCCTACCAAGTATAATGTTAACCCCCATAGGCACAGACCAGTCGAAGTCATGAGGAATTCCCTAATCATTAATTTCTACAGGAGATTTTTAATTCTGCGTATTTTCTCTACATAGAAATCAATATGATTTTTTAAAAATGAACGCCAGCCAAATCATTTAAATCTCCTGAAGACCATAAACATCATCTCCAACTAAAGAATAGCCAATAGTGAGGAATTATGGGAGTTGCAGTCCAAAAACATCTGAAGGACCCAGTTGCCTACTGCTGATATAGCTGAACTTAGACAAGGGAAATCTTATAGTTTTATTTGGCCAAACCCTCAGCTCTTTCTAATTTTTGCTACTTGCACTGCTAATTTACTGCCAATGCTGTGATTATGCCAAGGTTGTGTACAGCCTTGATGCATCAATGACAGTGGAATTTAATAGTGATTCCAGAAGATCAGGAAACATAATGTGAGAGTAAGATTACATGCTAAAATAGTAACATATTATAAATTGGATCCCAGTTAGATCTCGGGAATATGAGAAGCTACATTTTGTTAAGTTGAAGTACTGACTCATCTAGATCCCCAGTGTGATGTAGTGGGTAGATTGACTGACTAGGACTCAGGAACCTTGAGTTCAAATCCCTCCTCAGCCATGAAAACTCACTGGGGGTGGGGCTGGAACTGGTAAAACCACTCCTTAACTATCTCAATTACTTTGAAAGCCCTAATAGAGTAGCTGTAAGTCAGATCTGACTTGAAGGCACATAACAACTCCCCATGTTTCAGGCAAGACCCTTTTCTAGCTGTATCTGCAGACCCCAGGTGCTATCTAGTGGTCTCCCAGGGCAACCTTTCCCAGCTTCTGAAGTGAGATGAGATCAGATAACTTCAGGATGGCAAGATAACATTATTCATCCTCCATCAACAGAAGAATTTCTGGTCTTTGTGGAATGAAATTAAATTAATCATAGGCTACTGTTAGATGACAGACAGGGAAACCCACTTCTTATCAATTCTTCCATTACTGTGCAGTCTCCACACAACTCCCCACACTGTTTCAGAAGGTATGCCAGCTTTTCAGAGCACCTTTTCAGGGGCTGCTGTGAAGAGAATCAGCAATAACAACATACCCATGTCTTCCCAAAAGGATTTATTTTAGTTGGAATTCTGGTCATGGGAACTCAGGATTCAAGCCAATATGAATTTTATACTGGTACTCAGATCTTTTCCCTTTGCAACTAATCTTGCTTTGGACCCAAGAATGTAAGCTGGTGTTTTATGTTTCATATAAGTGTGACAATGCAATGTACCCGAAGGGTGACAGGAGGAGGATAAGACTAAAGCATCTATAGTAAGAAATTAAATGCATACATTAGGAATAACACTTACGCCGAGATTTTAGATAACTGAGAAAAGGGGAACAAGGAAGGCTATGAGATAAGTTGTATTTTGGCTGTTTATCTTTTCCTTGTAGTGAACTATTAATCCTCAGATGTCACAAGAGTAAAATATTGTCATAAATTATTGTGTTTTCCAGTCGTTTTGACTATGAGACTCAGGCTTATTTGCCCACCCTCTGGGAACCAATAATTATCTTCTTTTCATCTGGGCAGCTGATTGTTAACACGGACTTGCAAGAAACAAAATCTCAATTTTGAGCCACCCCACTCCTCTCTGCCAAATGCTGCTAATCTTTGTGCCCCTGGCATTGTATTTTACAACATCTTTCTTTTGGTCAGGTTTGTAAATCATCATCATCATCATTCCAAATAATTCTCCCAATTCATTATAAAAAATTCATACAGTACAAATTCTTTAAGAAAGGAACAATGCAGTTAATCAAGCTGGGTCATTTGGAGTTTAGTTATAAACAAAAAACAAACAAGAAGAAGAGATTGATGAGAACCATTCAAATTAATAAATAATTTTAAATTATTAATTAACTATTAATTGTGATTGCTAAAGAAGAGATTGATGAGAACCATTCAAATTTATAAATAATTTAAAATTATTAATTAACTATTAATTGTGATTACTACACAAATAACATTCAATTCATAAAATAACAAATCTACATGATGAGACAAAACTATTATGGAGAAAAAGATCAATTCATTATGATCAAGTGATTTTGTCTTTCTATATGTCAATGTGATGCATGAGGGCCCCCTCTTCATTTGAATTTAATTAAATCTATAAATGGGGACAAACTGTTGCAAAACTGTGCGCTGTCACAACTTCCTTAGAAACCTGTATTTAGGCAATTTGCTTTTCCTATAGACTATGTACCATACTATATATATATATATATTTTTTAAAAAAAATCTTGACATCAGTAGCTGAGGCTTGTGTACAGAACATTTACCTGGTACCTTTGATGAATAAGAATGGTCTTTGGTGAGAAGGAAATTAAATGTTTTTAACCGAGGGAAAGGGTGTTTTCCCCAACCCCTTTCCAGGAAATTAATTTTCCAAGAAACAATATTAAAATATATATACAAGTAGACTGACTAGCTACCCCTTTCTGCATATATACACTGATATACATAGATGCTTTATGGAATGATATGAAGGTCAGAAGAGGGGAACAGTGTGAATGAACCCACTTTTCCTACATAATTTTGATTTACTCATAGAGGGAAGCACTGAAAATGAGCATTAAATCCCATTAACTTGTTTTTTAAAAAGAACAGAACAAAGAATGATAAATTGGTATATATATATGCAAGAGACACTGTGATATTTGTAAAATATACACATATAGTACTGTAGTAAATAAAAGGGCACCTTGTAGTATACAAGTACAACAGTAGTGGTGGACTAAGCATGCTGAAAATAATGGAAAAATCCAAATTAGCAAGAGCTGATTAATAAGATTTTGCTGAACATTCAATATGTTTCATTCATTTTTAAAATTTACTTGTTACGTTTATATTCTTCCTTTCCTCCAGGAGATTGAATCAGCATACACAGTATTTCTCCTCATTTTTATTTTGAAAATAATCTTGTAAAGCAGAACAACATGGAATCTTCTGGTATCTTCAGACTTACACATTTTATTTGGCATAAGCACTTGTGGAGTGCAGTCCACTTTATCAGCGGCTTGAAATACACCAAGCTGAGAGGGAGTGACTCTATCCATGGCAATCCAGTGAGTTTCACAGCAGAGATCTGAACACAGGTCTCCTTAGCCGTAATTTAGTACTTTAATCCCTACATTATGCTGATAGCAGACAAATGATAATAGGGCAAAACCAAGCAACCTTCTTTCCGAACTCTCTTTTCTTTACTGGAAGACAGCTACCCAAGTCATACATCCCATAGCGCCCTCGCCTCGCTTAACGAGGGCGCGAAAACGCTGCGCGCGGCCATTTTGGGCCATTTCCGGGCTTCCTGTGGCCATTTTGGCCGCCGAAGCTGATCGTCGGGCTTCGTTTTGCGAAGATCGGTAAGCGAAACGCTTACCGGTCTTCACAAAGCGAATTTAGCCCTATTTAAAAAACATTAAGCGATCGCATTAGCGATCCGAAAAAACGGATCGCTATGCGATTTTGTCATTATGCGGTGCGCTTGTTAAGCGAGGCACCACTGTACATCAGGCTGAGAGGGAGTGACTCTGTGCATGGTAATCCAGTGAGTTTCACAGCCGAGATCTGAACACAGGTCTCCTTAGCCGTAATTTAGTACTTTAATCCCTACATTATGCTGATAGCAGACAAATGATAATAGGGCAAAACCAAGCAACCTTCTTTCCGAACTCTCTTTTCTTTACTGGAAGACAGCTACCCAAGTCATACATCCCATAGGCCTATCATCAACAGGAACCTATGGTGGGTGACAATAGGCCATGACATGATTATGAAACATTTGAACCTTAAGAGGCAGGAAACCCCAAAGAAAGAAGAACTTAGGACTCATGCTCCATGTTAAATCCCGTAGCCAGCAGCTGTCATTGGTGTGTGTGTGTGTTCAGTCGTTTAGTCGTGTCCGACTCTTCGTGACCCAATGGACCAGAGGAATCTCAAATAATGCATTTATATGATCATTTGACCAATTCAAATCAAAGACTGGCTGCTTTACTGGAAGACAGCTACCCAAGTCATACATCCCATAGGCCTATCATCAACAGGAACCTATGGTGGGTGACAATAGGCCATGACATGATTATGAAACATTTGAACCTTAAGAGGCAGGAAACCCCAAAGAAAGAAGAACTTAGGACTCATGCTCCATGTTAAATCCCGTAGCCAGCAGCTGTCATTGGTACAATCTCAAATAATGTATTTATACAGTATGATCATTGCATGATTAGAGAATTTGACCAATTCAAATCAAAGACTGGCTTGAGGGCAGAAAGAATTAGCTGGTACTTCTTATACTTTCACTGCACAAAGTGCTCCACAAAACTTTAGATTTATTATCACAGTAATGGTTGAATATTGAGTTCATATGGGATCACGGACTGTCCAGTAATGGTGGGGAATAATTCTACTGTATTTTAAGGTGTGCTGGAACTATATCTACTGCATAACCTCATCAACTTCAACCTAGCCCTCTCAAAGGATAATTGTAAGAGCTTCCCACCTACCTTGGGAAATATTTGTTCAGTTTCTTGCTGAGAGCTCATCTGTTTACTCATATCATGAGTTGGAGGCTGGCAGGTGTCTGCAGACTCCAGCGGTGAAGCTATATTCTGCCAGGAAAATTGGGGAGGGGGACAAATAGGGTTGTTTTTTTACCAGGACAAACATTATAAGAGTAGTACTTAAAGACATTATTTTCATGATTGTACCTTCTTCGAAACAAAATATATAAATAAAGAGCAAAATTGGTGCCACTTTGTTTCAAACAATGAAGAACCTATTTCTAAATGAAGCTTACTCTTCCAAATTGTCAACATTGGTCGATGTCATATTTTGCACCAATGAACCACATAATCCATGTGTCTCATGTGGTTGAGGTATAGCTACTTCCATTGTATAGCCAGGACAAGTGACAAACAGTGACAGAACCATGAGTTGAATCTAGTTTAAAGTGTGTGCAACTGAGCTGGCTGAAACAGATTTCCATGGCAGTAATTCCAGCCTTTTAAAATGCTACTTAAACCACATGGGCAAAAAATGGAAAAGCTACATTTTTGGAATACAACATCCAGAATGTCTTAGCTAGCATGGCTATTTATTTTATTGCCTGGGGAATTATGGAAGTTATTTCATCAAAAGTAACTTATCTCTGTTCTTGGTGTTGGGACTCTGTTGAATAGAGTGAAATGTGTGGGCAGAAACCCTGAAAATCAAGTGAAGGCATCATCCACAAAAGTAGACCTTCCACCCATGCAAAGCAAATCTTGGATCTAATCCTATATTTACTAGTCCTCACTCTCCTAGTCAAGCAAAGTGACAACACAATTCTCAACATGTTTCTCAAAATGGAAGCCCCATTAACCTCAGTGGGATTCATTTTCTGGTAAGAGTACATAGCAGTGGTGGGACTCTCTGGTTCAAAGGTTGCTTTTGGCACCAAGCCCTAACTGAGATAGTCTCTTTCTTCAAATGTGTAGCATCAGCATGAATTGGCAACTGGCATGGGGTGGTGAAATGAATGAAAGCAATAATCCCACCACTTCTAATAGCATGTCAGCTTTCCTGCTTCCAGTATGCAGATACAATTCCTACTTTCAATCTCCAGACCAAATCAAGGCTAAGATAAGTTTGGAGCACTGAAATACAGAGAAACCCCTGCTCTACTTCTAACTCTGAACTCACAAGTACTGTATAACATTTGTGCATACATGCGAAGTCAAAGGGAAAGATATCAATGATAAGTTGACCTGGGATATCAAAGCTTAAAAGGGCTTGATAAAAGGAGAATAAATTTGTAGAAACATGGCAAGACTTGTTGAACTATGTGTTAAGAAGGAAAGGTGAAGGTTGTTTACCTAAACAATTCTAAAAGGGTTAAGAGACACCATAACAATAATAATACATGAAACATATCTCTGTCTCTACTGGTCCCAATTGGGGGGGGGGGTGCACTTCAGCATTGCTTCTAAGGCAAAACCCTTCCCTTCTGACTGGGAGAAGCTGTCCTTCATGTATCTCCATTAGTACACATACACAGCTTCTTCACACAGTTGTTGAGTGTGTGACCAATATACCCACATAAGTGGTACAGCTGACAATACCATTATATGACCTCTTCACACCATATTTCAATGTGTGAAAGCGTCTGACTGACCATCTTCCGCATGCTTCTAGGCTACTACTAGTCTCCTCCCCAAGACTCCTGTTTTTAATTTCTATGGCACTACATACAAAGATAAGAAGAGGAATTAAAATGCATTACATACAAAGATAGGAAGATGAATTAAAATTAAAATTAGGGAATAGTCCTAGACTGTAGAACAGAAAGACAGACTTTTAATTTAAAAGATATGGAATGCCAGCCAACTCATTCTTCTGACAAAGGGCTGTCAGCAGAAAATGCTGGACCGTCTGGTATCTTTTTTGAACACAGGAATGCAGGGAAGATACCCTATGTGATAAAATTTGGCAAAAATAAAACCCTGCACTACAGGAATCCACACATTTGTGAAATTTTGGAGGCCAGTCTCTAGATTACTGATGGGTTCCCAGAGTTGGTGCGATGTAGACTGCAGCCCATAAACTGACCTTGGAGAAAATCCTGTAAGGAAGTATTCTTTTGGAAGCAGAAGTTGCAGCTTTTAATTATTTTATTAGCATCCTAGAAATGCAGTGTATCAATATAAAAAATGCGACAGCAAACTTCAAAAGGATCAGACTACAAGTCTTGAGAACTAGGAAGCATTACAAAAAGTAGCAACAAAGGCATAGCCAGTAATACAATACTATATTCTACTATTTCCTAAGATACATATAAAAAGGTGAAAAGCTGGAGTTATTTTTCAGGGGATCTCATTTCAATTTCTTGCCACATAATCAATAAGCTACATGGAATCCCCATGGCTGCAGTGTGTGTGATTGACATGTGTGGACAGATCTTTCTGAATGTCTGTTAAATTATGGCATGCAAACAGGCTTAATCATAAACTGGAAAGGCCAAGTCAAATAAATCTGCAAGAGGAATTAAAGGCTGAAATCCAGTAATAAGTCACAAATAACATAGGCCCATTGAATCAATGGGAATGTTCATAGGCAGTGACTTATCAAATCTCCACTGGTCCTTCTAATTGCATCTTTCTACTGGATTTCAGCTAATATTGCAAGATATTTACACTAAAACTGTTAACCTAGCTCTGCTTTCTTCTAATCTGAAGAATCCCATGTAAATGCATTAGAACAGTATCAAAGTTTAGAGAAAAGCTTCAGAGGTGCAGTTAGTTTAACTCTGATTTCTTTATACATTCACAACCATAATGACATAATTTTAAAACTGGAAAAGCTTACAAATCTTAAAAAGAAGCCATCTGAATTTTTGAACTGTATTGTTTGGATACTAAAAGAACAGATTCCAGGGTTATTGGAAATTGTGTGGCAAAAGTCAGTTTACAAGTTTAGGTTTCCTGTTACAACAACTTTCAAGTGACCAGGCTGTTACATCCCGACTTTCTATCCATATAGGAAACACTACAAACATCTTTGTTAGAACAGGTTGTTTAATTTAAGCACAAGCCAGCTGAACAAAGAGAAGACCATGTATTCGGCCTTCTAACTCTGTGCCACATGTTACCCATCCATTTTACTGTTACTCTGTAAACAATCAACCTGTATTCTACCCGCTGCAGCACATGTTTTGCAGAAACAGTGAAAGAAACAAAGTTTACTTATACTGATCAGAAATTCTATGCATGTGGTAAGAACATGGTTCAACATATAAGGCAGAATCTTATTGCGCATTTATGGCATAATTGTATACATTAGCAGGCAAATTCCTGCTAGTTAACAAGTTCCCATTTGTGCTCTTAGCTGCACAGAAAATCAGGCAACTAGCACTTGACTAAAAACACAAGTGGCAACTTGTTAATTACTGCCAGTTCACTGCTATGGTCTGCATGGTCACACTTGTGCTAGTGTAAAGCCACAATAAGGTTCTGGCTGTTGTGACATTTTAACCACAATTATATGAATTACAACAGTACAATATCTGACAAATGTGAAAGCTAAAATTATTACAGATAAGGCATGGAATGGCTAAAGATGAGCATACACTTTAGCACTAGATACAGAAAAAGAAAGGTCTCTTTTGTAAGCTTGAAATAGCTATGATGAGAATTTAACTGGCTTCGGAAATGGAGGGATAGCATCTGCCTTGTGTTCTGCCCTGGGGAAAAAGGAATGATATAAAATAACTAAGTAAAATGCATAAATAAAAGAAGGCTCAATAGTCTTCATGTTTAATGGGACGTTCAATAATGACACTTGAAATGGTTCCAATTAAGAGACAAATACTTCACCATCTCTGGATGAAATACAGGTTACAGAAAGCCATCGAGCAGAAAATAGTGGTGTGATAGCTAGAAGCACGGGCTTAGCTTTAAAATTCAGCTTGAACAGATTGAATGAACTGGAGCCATATTAGCTGAAGTTCATGAAGTTCAGAAAGATTAGCTAATGCTTGGAGACCAAGGAAATATGAAGCAACATGGGACAACCATTAAGGGGAAAGGAAAGCTCTAGCCAGGATATTTCAAGGACAGAAAAGCAAGGCATTTAAGATGAAAAATAAGGAACTAATTGCCGAGTAAGAAGATGTGGGACTACAAGGGGAACTAATTCAGAATGGGATCCCCAAACAAAAAACACTCTAATGAAGGCATTAAAAGAAATAAAATCTGACCAAACTTTTTAAAGAACAGAAAAAATATATTTAGTACCATTGCAACAATAGATCTAGGAATGAATCAAAGATTCACTGAGATAAGAAAATAGTGAATGAAATGATTGAATCCAGTTAATTGTTTGAATACGTGATTTCCAATAGTGTCATTTTTTTCCTTAATATTGCTACTTCTCCTACAAGAAAGGAATAGTGTAATCCAGTTAATTGTTTGAATACGTGATTTCTAATAGTGTCATTTTTTTCCCTTAATATTGCTACTTATCCTATAAGAAAGGAATAGTGTGAGGAAATAGGAGGAAACTGGGACACAAGATTGTCATCTCTGCGGCAGCATCTCTGTGGAATCCTCTTCCTTGGGAGAATAATCTGATGTTTTCTCTTTTATTTTTCCACCAACAGCTGAAGACAGGTTTTTAATAATTGAGTCCTACATGCTATTTTTTAGCTAAGTAAGTTTGTTTTTAATTTTAATTAACCATTTAATATATTTTATTTATTATTATAGTTTAAATGTTTTTTTTAATTGTACCGTCCATTGTGTTTTTAATTTTATTTGTTTTAACTTGTGAGCCACCTTGAGTTGCCTCATCAGGAGAAAGGCAGCTTACAAATGACATCAAACAAACTTATATTGGGAGAATAGAGGTGTTTATTCAGTGGAACCTCTGTATACTTTGTATGCTGCAACCCATAATTTTATAACTGCAAAAGAAATGCCAATGGACAAAAAGAGAAGAGAAGAGAAGAGATATTTTCAAAAACATATAGGTTTTTTAACTGTTAATTTCTGGACATGTTTAGATGAATTTGCCATATTTATGTAAACCAGCTCCTGTGTTTCTTACTTAAGTTCTCCTCCGTGACAGATTTTTG